TAATAGAGTGATTTGTGTTGCCGTGTGCACATTTTTTTTACCCACACCGCAATGCACACTATTGTGGTATCCGTGCGTAGCAGTGCAACAAACACCCACTGGAAGGTGCATTGGGGGTGCCACTCAGAATGAATAGCAATGCAGTGCACCTAGCGTGCAATGCAGTGTGCTGCGCAAAAGCAGGCGCTATATACAGTAAACTCCCACTTATCTGGCACCCACATGAATCAGTAGCTGCCGGATAACTAGTTTCTGGTTGCTTGAGAGTTAATAGTAACTCTCAAGCAATCACCACACAGTTCTCTCTCAGGTCCGCTCCTCTGCTCAGCATGGGGGTACAATAGCCAGCCTGCTATTGCAATTTGAAATAGCCAATAGCAGGCTGGCTATTGCTCCCCATTGTTTACATTCTGCAAAATCTAGCCAGCGGCAGCAGCAAGATTTAAACAAAGAATTTCTTTGGCAACTAAATAAATGTAGTTGCTAATAAAGATTTTTAGTGTCCACCAAGCAACTGACAATTGTGTCGTGTGCATCAAGCCACCAGAAAAAAATATTGAGGACGTTATCTCAATTTTTTGCCAGTTGCTTGAGAGTGCCCTTTGCTTAAATGCCAGATAATGGGGAGTTTACTGTACATGGATAGCGTGCCTTTAGCACAGCTCTATAGCTGCCCACACACCTTACAATGTATCTGCAGATTTTCTGTGGCCAGATGGAAAAAGTGCAACAGATTGGCCGAGGTGGAGATTACTCCATCCACACAGTTAAGTGTAGATGGAGGAGTCTGTTGCACTTTTCCATCTGACCACAGAAAATCTGCAGATAATTGTAAGGTGTGTGGGTAGCTTAAGGTGTGAACTGACCCTACTCCTTTAGTACATCAACCCCCTAGTAGGTGCATGCATGGTTAAATGGTCTGGTGTGGGCCAACAAATGTGAATTAGAGAACCTATGCCTGGCAGGAAAGGGGTCTTGTTACAGGACACTTTACATTTTTCCTTCCGGAAAGTAGGCATCATTCCAGGGATGAAAGCAGACTGAAGCTTGAATGCATACTGGTTGGAAGGAAATGCTTTGCTCTAAATATATGCATGCACTCCTAGTCTCGTCTCTCCAAGCACTTCACCTTCCTTTTCTACTAGTCAGCTGAGGTGATCGCTTTTCTGCAATTAACTTCTGATTGAGTATATAATGACATTATTGTTCATGTGATGATCAGTTTGATGATACATTCTTATCTCATATAAATGAATTGCAATAAATAGATGGTTTGGCCAGTAATAATTGTCAAACAGCACAGACCAAATTTTGTATCATCAACTTGTGTTGGTTAATCTAATAAAAACTCTTAGGCTACTTTGCTAGCCAAAGAGCCAAAATTAGTTTTAGGTTCCATGCACATGGCCCTCCTGCATTACACACACCTACAGCCAAAGTTATCTGGGAAGTATAACCAACTTTTATGCTTCCCAGATCACTTTATCTTGTATTTAGACGTATTTACATGTATTTAGCCACGTAAAACCAAGCTAGACGGACCCAGGATGCAGAAGATTCTTATTTGTGTAAACACAGCTAGACTGAATGCACCTAAACATCTGGTTGTGCACTCATAGCAAAGCATTAAGGTGGCCATACACTTTACAACCATCGCAAGACCTTAGTCTTGCGATGGTTGTAAAGTAATTTAAAAAACGTACGATCTGCCCACCTTGGACAGGCAGATCGTACTTGCGATCATCGCAAGCCCGCCCCCGAGGGGCGGGCTTAGGCAGATCGTACGGGCTTTCAAGAAGCATACGACCATCGCAAGACAAAAGTCTTGCGATGGTCGTAAGGTGTATGGGCACCTTTAGACAAAAGACGTGCGTCTAAGATGTGCATTTAGAAATGAGCTTCAAACACACCTGAAAGCAATGATTTTAATTCCATTGTGCACGGGGCCTAAAGGTGCCCACACACCTTACGATAATCACGGGAAATCCCGCAATCACACGATTATCGTAAGGTGTGTGGAAGCCGTGCGACCTCAGCTACTGTAAGGTCGCACGACTTTTAACTTACGAACATGTTCGAAAACCCGCCGAGCTCGTACGATGTTCGCCGGGTGTGTAGCATATTCGTAAGATAAAAGCCGGACGGGCCGGGGTGCGCAAGCGCACACTGCCCGTTCGGCATTGCGGTCATCGGACGCACGCCCCTCAGGGAGCCGCGGCTTGCGATCATCGCAAGTACTATCTGCCTGTCCAAGATAGGCAGATCGTACGGTTTCTTAATTACCTTACAACCATCGCAAGACAAAAGTCTTGCGATGGTTGTAAGGTGTGTGCCCAGCATAAGGCTGCCCATACACCTTGCGATCATTGGACGACCCTTTTCGTCCGATGATCGAACAGTCGTAGGATTTTCGTACGGCGGCCCCCTCTTCTTCCCCCGATTATCGCAAGGTTGGATCAGCGGTAATTAGAAGAAAGCACCTGGACGAATCGTGGTAATCGACCGCACGTATTTTTGTCTGCGCATGTGCAGTGTAAATCGTACAAATTTTGACGTACGGAAACTCCACCAACCTTGCGAAAATCGAACGTTCGACCGAAGTTTTCTAATCTGCTGGTTAGTCAAAAGTCGATCGATTGTACAGTATTTGCGGTTGTACACTGCCCATCAACCTTACGAATATCGGACGAAAACGCGATCGCATATGAAAATCGGCCGATATTCGTATAAGGTTCACACCATTTTTCGGACCAGATCTGGAATGCGGTGCATTGCGTTTTACCACCTTTTTACAGCGATTTTTGCCCCCCTTCGGGAGGGTTTTTTTTTAGCTTAAAATGGACTTACAGGTGTGTTCCAGTGCGTTTGTATGAATTTTTGATGCGTTTCCATGCGTTCCAGTGCATTCCAGACAAAATGAGACGAGCAGTATTTTTCTGGACCAGAACGGACTGCGCTGGTGGGAACAGAGCCCAGAAATACCATAGGGATACATTGGGATGCGTTTTTGGTCCAGGAACAAACTGTTGTGGTCTGGACATGATTCGGATATGGTGTGAACATATAAAAAGCCCTAATACATCATTGTTAAGGACAAAAGAGAAAGCTTGCTTAGTTTTTCTTCAAGGCTGACAAATGCAAAAAAAAAGTTTTCCTCTTTTTACATTTTTTGTTTAAATGTATTATTATTTTTACATGGCACTTCATGTGAATACTGCAGGCTGAAGGCTTTCATTTTTGTTAGTGGAGTCTCCAGCCAGCATTGGATCACTGTCAGACCTGACCTAGTGATCACATGATCGGGAACCATCCTGATTGGAAAGGTGCAAACAAAATAAAATTTAAAAGATGTGTAAGTTATGTATGAACTAATTAATGAAGTTTGTTTGCACTGAAATGTTGCTTTATGACTGGCATCATTACCTTCCATCCTAAAGCACCAGTAAGGGCCTGTTCTCACCAGTAGCTGCTTGAGAATACAGTTGCTGGTGTACGCTGTGAAGGCTGTTGTGTCAATGCCCTGGAAACTTTTTTTTTTAGAACTTGCTTGCAGAAGTTTTTTTAGTGTGATGGTGTGCACTGTGCCAATTGTATTCTTTGCATTAGGACTGTAGCCCAATGAACCCGATGTAAACATGCCCATAATCTAAAGCTTAAGCTGTTTGCTGATATCGCTTTAAATTACTTTACATATGGATTTAAAGTGACACTAAATACTCAGGAGTTAAATCTTAAAAATGCATTCCAGTTCACGAACCATTAACAAAAATGTATCTTATTTGTGTATCACTCGGCTGTATATCCTCAAATCATCTCTAAATTGGGGCTGACACTGTCCTTCCTTCTGGAGGGGGGCTACTTTTGTTCCCCATGGTCCCTGTGTGTATTGTAAAGTAGCCACCGCTCCAAGCTCACTCCTGTGATGGACCACAATATCACGTTTAGTTTACTAATTTGTATTGAGATTGTAGTCCTTTACGGAATTGAGCTTGGAGCGGTGGCTACTTTACAATACACACAGGGACCATGGGGAACAAAAGTAGCCACCCTCCAGAAGGAAGGACAGTGTCGGTAAGAATTCAGAGATGATTTGAGGATATACAGCTGAGTGATACACAAATTAGTTACATTCTTGTTAATAGTGTCACTTTAAGGGCTCAGCCACACAGACGTGCACGCCCATGCAGAGACCTGGGACTGTGTGTAATTGAGTTCAACAGCTTGTGCCACCTGCCTGTACCTCCCTATGGGAGGACGCAGGCCTGGATGCCCGCATTTGGACCAACACTTCACTTTTTGAATTCTGCCCCACTTTGGGGGGTTATATATTATAGTGGTTAGCTTCTGCCTTGCAGCACCAGGGGTCTCTGGTTCGAATCCCGGCCAGGTCGCTATCTGCAAGGGGTTTGCATATTCTTCCTGTGCTTGTGTGGGTTTCCTCCGGGTACTCCGGTTTCCTCTCACACTCCAAAGACATGCAGTTAGGTTAATTGGCTCCTCTCTATGCATGTGAGATAGGGACCTTAGATTGTAAGCTCCTTGAGGGCAGGGACTGATGTGAATGTGCAAGAGATCTTGTCGCACTTCTTACCACATATCCCAATAGCAGGGGAGGGTGCTCGCAATGACTGCGGATGGCGTTGCTATACATATGCAGTTTCAAAGAATGTCACCAGCACACGGAAATATCCTCATAGGATCACCAAAAGTTAATTTTATTGAACAATTGTCAAACAAAAAACTAGTGTCAAATGAAAAACTAGTTTTTCACTTGATAATTGTTCAATAAAATTAACTTTTGGTGATCCTATGAAGATATTTCCGTGTGCTGGTGACATTCTTTTGAAACATTCCATTTGCTGCCTCTCTGCTCCACTGGAACCCTTACTGTTACAGTAATGAAGCAGAATTTTGGGGTAAGGGGGAGCATGTGACCTCCCCCATATGATAGTGTTTGTCTATCCAGTGGGACACAAGGAGGACAAAGAGCACAGCACTGATGTGTGTGGAGAAGGTGACAACTGTTTCGAGACATTTGTTTTTTTTTAAAGGGAGGGGGAAGTCTTTTAGTTACTTCCAGTAATTTTCTCCTGATGTAACATGCCTATTCTCCCACTCCTCCACGCCCAGATACAATATTTCCTTTCAACTAACTTTTTCCTAATCCTTTGATGTTAAAATGTTCTCTGACAAGCTGGGCTAGGAAAGATATGACCACAGGGTGGCTGTGATGAGTTAGCAGCCTTTCCAAAGTACAGTCTTGTACCGAGTTATCCATCAATGAATACACAAAGGTTGCTGTTTATGTTGTATGATTTATTGGCTAACTCAAAAGACAATAAAAGCATTCACCATTAATTAATGCAATGCAGCCAGACTGCATATAAAGCAATACATATGAGCTCTTGTACTTCTTACACTGCTAAATGATGCAGCATGGATTAAAATACTCTGCACTAGGACAGTTGGACTGCAACTCTCTCCGCAAAGCAGGAACCTGATGCTTCAGATTTCATTCCCAGAGAAGCTCCGTAGATTAGAACAGTATTTGGGGAAGGGGAGTTGACGGACTGATGGAGAGCTGGGCCTGTTTTCTATGAGAGAACTGCCGTCCAACTCTCCTATGTGCTGGCAGAACAGAGTATTTTACCCTTGCTGCAGCACTTAGCAGTATGAATATGTATAAGAGCTAGGGATGTTCAGATACCGAGTACCGTACTCGGTACAAGTACAGATACTTTTCTAGCTCCTAGACTAGAGAAAAATTCTAAAGTTAGGAGGCAGCTGTCATTTGTAAGGAGCACACGGGATTTGTGCGTCTCTGTTTTAATCTGATTTTTTACAAATAAATATATATTTATTTCTTGCGATGGTTGTAAGGTACTTAAAAAAATTTACGATCTGCCTATCTTGCATAGGCAGATCGTACTTGCGATGATCGCAAGCCACGCCCCCTGGGGGGGGCGGGCTTCCGATGACCGCAATGCCTAACGGGCAGTGTGCGCTTGCGCACACCGGCCCGTCCGGCTTTTATCTTACGAACATGCTACACACCCGCCGAACATCGTACGATGCTCGGCGGGTTTTCGAACATGTCCGTAAGTTAAAAGTCGTGCAACCTTAAAGTAGTAGAGGTCGCACGGCTTCCACACACCTTACGATAATCGTACGATCGCGGGATTTCCCGCGATTATTGTACGATTATCGTAAGGTGTGTGGGGACCTTAAGTCTCAGGACTGGATGGACAGAAATACAAAGCCATCGTCAGGCAAAACCTACCCTATGTATGCATTTCATCTCTATATATAGCTGATTGTTTGATCATCAGCTTGAAACACTGAAGCTGTAATACGATTTCAAACTGTTCAAGAGCAATTCAGGGCCAGCAGCTTGAAAATTGTCCGATGACTTCAGCTGAAACATTTGATAACATTGCTTGTGTAGCAGGGGCGTAACTAGAAATCACAGGGCCCCATAGCAAAATTTTGTATGGGGCCCCGTGATTGCTAGTTATGCCACTTGCAGAGCCCACCGGAGAGTGACCCTGCAGAGCCCACCATAGACTCTCTATAGTGGGCTCTGCAGGGTCTGAGATCTCTTACCTGTCAGCGCTGTCCGCCTCTGTGGTCCCGGATCCCGACTCCTGTTCCGTCCCCGGGTCCGCCTCCTCTGCTATCGACGGGCCCCATCTGCTCTTAGGTCGCTGGCCAGTGATGTAAGAGGAGGCGGGGTTGCTCTTAGGCGGGCCCCGCCTCCTCCTTTCCGAACACCGCTCTCATCTGCCGCAGCGGCTGGCTGTCACTGACACGGCTCCGCAGCGGCTTTGAGGGGAAATGCGCCGCGGCCGCTGCTGAGCTGTGTCAGTGAAATCGTACTTGCGATGATCGCAAGCCACGCCCCCTGGGGGGGGCGGGCTTCCGATGACCGCAATGCCTAACGGGCAGTGTGCGCTTGCGCACACCGGCCCGTCCGGCTTTTATCTTACGAACATGCTACACACCCGCCGAACATCGTACGATGCTCGGCGGGTTTTCGAACATGTCCGTAAGTTAAAAGTCGTGCAACCTTAAAGTAGTAGAGGTCGCACGGCTTCCACACACCTTACGATAATCGTACGATCGCGGGATTTCCCGCGATTATTGTACGATTATCGTAAGGTGTGTGGGGACCTTAAGTCTCAGGACTGGATGGACAGAAATACAAAGCCATCGTCAGGCAAAACCTACCCTATGTATGCATTTCATCTCTATATATAGCTGATTGTTTGATCATCAGCTTGAAACACTGAAGCTGTAATACGATTTCAAACTGTTCAAGAGCAATTCAGGGCCAGCAGCTTGAAAATTGTCCGATGACTTCAGCTGAAACATTTGATAACATTGCTTGTGTAGCAGGGGCGTAACTAGAAATCACAGGGCCCCATAGCAAAATTTTGTATGGGGCCCCGTGATTGCTAGTTATGCCACTTGCAGAGCCCACCGGAGAGTGACCCTGCAGAGCCCACCATAGACTCTCTATAGTGGGCTCTGCAGGGTCTGAGATCTCTTACCTGTCAGCGCTGTCCGCCTCTGTGGTCCCGGATCCCGACTCCTGTTCCGTCCCCGGGTCCGCCTCCTCTGCTATCGACGGGCCCCATCTGCTCTTAGGTCGCTGGCCAGTGATGTAAGAGGAGGCGGGGTTGCTCTTAGGCGGGCCCCGCCTCCTCCTTTCCGAACACCGCTCTCATCTGCCGCAGCGGCTGGCTGTCACTGACACGGCTCCGCAGCGGCTTTGAGGGGAAATGCGCCGCGGCCGCTGCTGAGCTGTGTCAGTGACAGCCAGCACCCTTACATGCCAAAGCGACCCAGGCGGCCCTGGCCGGGCCCCCCTGTGCCGCATGGGTCGCTATGGCGATTGTTACGCTACTGTTGTGTAGCGTTCACACGCGAAGGAGCTGCTGAAATAACCGCGTCATCACTAGTCTGTCTAGGGGATTTGTTCTTCAGCCGCCCTATTAGCATTTAACCGCCCTTCTTCTAGTGCCCACAAAGCTGATGTCCACTCCAGTAATGCAATGCTGAATAACTTTTATTAAAGGAGAACTATGGGGTCAGTGTTTTTCTCCATAGTTCTCCTTAGAGTAATGGGAGGACACAAACTAGCGTCCTCCCGTTACCCTAAGCTCAGTATACCGCGAGCTACAGCTCGCGGTATACTGAGAC